TAGATATAATTGATGATTTACAGAGAGGAAGGGAGAAGGATAGAGAATTAGAAACATCGATGAGAGAGAAACATCAATTCAGCTGCCTCCTGCACCCTCCCCACTGGGGATGTGCCCGCAACCAAGGTACAAGCCCTTGACCGGAATTGAACCTGGGACCCTTCAGGCCGCAGGCTGATGCTCTATCCACTGAGCCAAACCGGTTTCGGCCAGGTTTCTGGGGTTTTGTTTAGCTTCTATATTAATTTAAACATTGTTGCTTCCGGAGCTCAGAGCTGGGCTGCAGCAGGCGGGGAACCTCGGCTTCCTCCATCACTGGAGCAAGCAAGCCTCATGTTCGCTTCAGCTGCGTGGCTGCCAGCCACCATCTTTGTTGGCAGTTAATTTGCATATCCTGCTGATTAGCCAATGGGAAGCATAGTGGAGGTATGGTTAAGGTATGTTATGAGGTGTAAGTACAATATCTGTTAGCTCTTATGTTTTCCATTATTAACTTTGGGGGCCAAAGAGAGTTATAGATGCTTTATATGCTGGGATTAATAATTTCACCTTTTTTTTTTTAATTAAGATTTCTCAAATTCTGTGACTGAAAGTGAACATATTGTGTGGAGCAGTGAAAATACTAATGGACAATCTCTGGAAAAAACTTATGCACGGAGAGCTCTGATAAGTTTCTTCTTTCCCACAAGTAAGTTCTTGGTTGATTCCCCCCACCCACCGCCAGGGTCCTTGTTTTGAAAATAGTAGTTAAATGTTTAAGAGGCAGTATGGTGTATTGTCATTGGAGTGGGATAGGCCTGAGTTTTCATCCTGACTCTACCTGTTGTCTTCGGCAAGATTACCTCTTTTAACTTCAGTGTCCTCAACTTTAAAATGAAAATATTTACCACAAAGAATTGCAAGGAAGAACTGAGACCATATTTTACAGGAACTCCATATGTTTGTTACTCTTTACAAAATAGTTTTCCTTCACAATTATCTAAACCTTTTACAATTTACTTTAATGGCATTGCCTGAAATTTAGTCCCTGACCCAGTTTTGTGAAATCAATATCTTTTGTGGCATTAATCAGGGTGCTGTGTAGCTCTAATGTACGGAATATACCAGATGTTTTCCCATCTGTTTTAATGATAAAAAGTTCAGGTTTCAAGTCACATCGTCTTTCTGTGATTCTGTATATAATGAATTTATCAAGCACATGATGACCCCTGAGAATTATTAACCACAAATATCAATGTTTCATTTTGTACAGCATGTGGTGCCCTTTCAAGGAGAAGCTTAAAATAAATTGACATATATGAATTACAAAGATGAAGCTTTCATTAAAAATCATGCAGAATTTATTCTAATAATATTTGAGGTACATATATAAGAAAAAAAAATAATTTTCATTGTTTAATTCCAGACTCTAGCACTGAATTCTTCTGTGACCTTGCATAAATATCTCTATACTGGTTTCATGAAATACAAAACAGACATTATAATACCTACCACCAATGAGAATAGCAAAATAAGCAAGCTCCTTAAATAAATTAAAAATATTGCCATGGTCAAGTTGAGGGGAGAAAGAGCAATATGAGAAGGTGGTATGTTGTAAAGCTAAACGAATGACTCAGTGAGTGCTAAAGTTGATCATAAACAACAACAAATGATCATTTGTTTACCATAGTTACCTATAACTATATTATACAAATATTGAAGTCACCTTTAAAAAATCTAAATAAGATATCTATCTATATTTCCAAAATATTCCCCCAGCCTGGCAGTAACTTGAGTCAAAACTAACTGTATGAGATATTTTCCCCAACAAAACCAAACTGTTCTATTATAAGGGAAAGATATGACTTAGGTTAATTCAAATATTTCAAAACATATATATATCTGCCCTCTTTGAAAAGAATAATTGCAAGTTCATAAAATGTGAAATAATTTTAACAAATTTATTTCCTCCTTTGTATAATTGAATATGAACACTCTTACTACATAAGCACTTAAACGAAAGTCTGTTGTTTTGTCATTCAGCTGTTGTTTGTAAAAGATTCATCTCTTATAGATTAAAACTAGAGGACCAGTGCACAAAAATTTGTGCCCTCGGGGGTTCATCAGCCTGGCCTGTGCCTTCTCGCAGTCTGGGACCCTTCGGGGGATATCCACTGGCTGGCTTAGGTCAGCTCCCCA